CTAGCGCTCCCCTGTCATGCAACTGCTTCCAACATGGTGAAAGCTAGCACATGCTTCTTCTGCCAAACCAGCCAACTGCATCTTTTCAAACTGCTGCTCATGCTGTGTCACAGGGTGGCGTAACACACCCAGAGTCAAGCACTATCTTCTCCCTTCCACATACATGAGATCACAGATGTCCACACTTACCTAATATCATTCTGATTGACAGGAGAGTCAAAGGAGTGTTGAAGTAACAGTCAGAGAGCTCGGCTTATTTTTCTTTCTTGGACTTCTGGACATGGATGGCTGTAGCATCATTGGGATTTGAACATACCATTGACCAGGTGATGGGAAGAATGATTTCCTGTTATGCCACTTTGGGGACCCAGTTAGTTCCCAGGTAAGCAGAGGCTACATAGTCACAGGAAAGAAACTCCAAGCGAACTAAGTGACTTGCGACTCACTAGTGTAAATGAAGTATTATTGCCTTTTTGTCTGGGAAATAGAACCAACTAAGTTAATCAGAAAATATGGTGGTCGGATACAAAAAAATATAGCTGTGGGAGCTGATAATTGATCAAAATTTCGCACACAAAAGAGAAAAACCGAGCTGTGCATGCTGCTAGCTAAGTTTAATACCTGCCCAGTCGCAAACTTAGACGCTCCACCACAGGCTGTTTAACGCACATAACCACCGAGATCTTTCCAGTTACTTAGCGTTACAGTATTCACTTCTGTGCAATATTGAAATCAGACTTGTGAAAACAACCGTAAGCTTTTCTAAACAAAGCGCCATGGTCTACATGTATTATCCAGTGTTTTCGAAGTTACGAACACACAACGTCCCGTTCTCCACTTAGTCATGGTGTTTCCTGGAACATACAAGCTGCCCTGTTTTTGTTGTAGCCACATTTTTACAACCATCACACACAAACATCTGTGGGCTTTACAGTGTTAGTCAAATGTTTTTTTAGTCAAATGTCCACATAGAGTAATGAAAACTACCAATCTGGCTAACCAGAGAGAATCTGAACTGGGTTGTACAGTACTTTTCCAAACATCGTAAGTAAACACATCAGGTTTTTCATGTACGTGCCTGAGAAGACATAAGACAAATACAAACACAACCATTTCTTCAGGCAGCTTCAAACCCGATTTATGGAAAATCTGAGACCAAAATCGCATGCTTTTGCATCCTTCCAGTGTCTTTTTGGCTTAAAATGTCTTAATCCTGCAGCTAGCTGGCTCTGAGCTAATTTGTTATACTCTCTATTTGAGTTTGAGTGCTGATAATGTGTCTACTGGCTCCGTGATAGAGGTTCCTGTTACTCTGTAGACACAACTCATTGGACGCTTGGTGAAAAAGCGCGGAGGGTGGCAAGGGATGTTGAAGACCATATCGCCTTCTTCATCTCATCCTGCAGGCTGTAAGATACCTAAACACACCAAATCCCACTGGACAGGCTCCACTATTGTTCGCGGAGAATGTGATTTATTAGCGTAACGCAGAAGAGTGCAGGCTTGGATGGGGTTTCATTTATAGTACAGTGTTGATATTAAAGGTGAGGAGAGCGACTTTTAGGTCAGACTGCTTTTTGTAATATTTGGCGAAGTTGAATAAAAACGTGTGCTTTGAGTTCAACTCGGGTCTCGGGGATGTTCCAGAGAGAGTCTGTAAGCAGGAGAAATAATAATAATATCCAACCAATCAGGACTACTTGTTTGGCTTTCTAGCCTAGAAACCTGTTCGGGACTGCATTTGTGTACATTTTGGGTTTTAAAACAATAAGCTTCAGCTAACGTCCACCAACGCTGTTTCTCGGGAGTACAAATCTTTAGGGTATCCATGTGTTCTTATTTGGTTTGAAGTAAGTTTAGCCAAAAATGAAATGTACACAAGGTTCCATTTATTCTAAATGTCGTCAATAAAGCCAATATAATGACTAATACTGCCTACAAGTAATGGAGACTGATCTGACCCAGTGCTTCCTGCACTTGTTAGTAATATTAACCTTAAGGATGTAATGCAAAACTAAAGAATTGAACATGGCTTGTATAGATCGTTTATTCTTTTAAGTGTAACAAAGCATTCAGAATACAAAGTGATTTGTTGAATGTTTCAGTGTGACACTGACCAGACTCTCTACAGAAGTGGATACAATCCCAGACTTTGAGGATTTTCCCCTCCTTTTATATGAGCCTCTCTACTTCTCTGAACTATTTCCAATTTCTGTCCAACCATTGCTAAGCTCACATCCTCCGAGCCTCTGATCCATCCACTTTGGGCAATTTAATCATCCACATTTCAATGATTTCTCTGGATGTGAAGGCTGAAAACACCCCCCTTCCGCCCCTTCTCCACCCACCCCCGCCAAAAATAGCTTTGAAAAGTCTGAGACTGGAGAACTCAACATCAAGCTCGTCTAGCAGAAGGAAATCAGGTCTGTGAGATTAAAGAGAGCTCTGAGATTTGGCCCTTTCTTTAGATTTCTCCGTCTGATGGGATTCATTCAGCTTA